TCACCGCCATTCCCTCTTGGCTGGGCTGCTCTGAGACTGCCCTGGCTGTGACCAATCCTCAGGGATCCTCTGTGGCCCCAGGCCCAGCCTCAACCACACTGCCAGGTCAGGTCCTGCCTGGAATCTTCACTAGAAGTCCCCAGAAGCCAGATGCTCATTAAAGCAAACAGAATTAGGGCTCAGTCCTCCTCTCTTCTCTCCCTTTGTTTCTTTCTGCCACTCTCCTGTCTCTTTCACCCCTCCCCATTCTCTCTGCTATCCCAACCTTCTGTCCTCCTCCAGCATCTTGTTCAAGCTTCCCAGCCCTAACTGGCCAGCCTCTGTTTTACAGAGGTGCTGCAGGGTACCCCACTTGAATTTGTACAGCATGGGCCAGAGCTTGGTTTGGCTGATGCTGATTGAGGGTGTGGAAGGCATCGTGTCCGCTTCCCAGGTCTGAAGATGGAGAACCTCTGCTTGCCATTCTGGGCACGAGAAAGATAGTGTAATGCCACGGATAGCCCCCAGTCCAAGCCTTCATTATCCCTCGCCCCATGTGGGTCACACATTCCATGTAGTCTCATTGTTCTGTTTTCATCCTTCTTCTCTCCCTACCAGGAGCTCCTTGAAGGCAGGTCATTTGTTTTACCTTATGTGTCACCAGGCTAGCACAGGCCTGCCACCAGTTAGGAGCTGAATAAATGTCTATAAATTCAGCCACAGTACAGCTATGGAGCACTTACTGGGTGCCAGACTCCAAGCCTTGGGGATAAAGAGGTGAACAAGGCAAAGTTCCCTGGGCTCAAGGAGCCTGCAGTCTTGCAGGAGAGAGAGACTCGCAACTAGAACAAATGTGAAGAGAGAGATCAATGAGGAATGTAAGTGCAAGGTTCAGGGCACACAAGGAGAGACCTAACCCAGGCGAGGGGTCAGGAAAACCTTTCCTGAAAGTAACATTTACACTGACTCCTAAGGATGAATAGGAGTTAGGGGAAGGGGTGCAGTGAAGGAGAGGTCAAGGGAGGCTATTCTAGCCGAGGGGAGTATTTGTNTGAGTACTTCACCCCTGCAGCCTTCCTCAAAATAAACAAAGGGGCTTGTCTTGTCCCATTATTCAATTGCTTTTCAGCTACAGCAGCCTTTGTTCAAATAAATAGTATACGGACATATAACACAGAGGAATATAGAGCTGATCTGATTAACGGGGAAGTGAGAGGCCGGGACCCTACCAGCTCTAGCTTTCTGTGGCAGTCCCTAAGCCACAGAACCCAGAATGGCCACAGAGGTCAGTCTGTAAACCACCAGTCAGCAAGGCCGCTCTCATTTCCGGTATTCTGATCCCAAAAGCACCCACGCATGGGAGGCGCACCCCCAGTCTGTGTGCATCCTAGCATCCTAAGTACAGAATCCAGTGAGTTGAGGAACAGAGGTCACTCCCTGGAACATACTGAGGTGGTCTCGTGCTGATGCTGGAGGGACCTGGGCTCTTATCCCAGAAGGGTGAGCTTTCATAGCCACATGGCGGCCCTGCCCGCGGCAGCTGTCCCTTCTCCTACCCAGGGATGAAGCATCTGGCTGGGGAATATCCTTCAGGTCAAGGTGTCAAGGCAGTAGAATTAGGGTCCAGTGGCTGGGGCAGTGGAGGTATGGCAGGTGGTCTCTGGTGATTAACGCCCCCCCCTGCGCTCAGCTCCCCCATTCCACCCATCATCTCTTTTTTATTCCCCTGTGCCTCTGTTGAGCCTGTAGCCTATGTAGTAAGGAACCAGCTCTGTTCTAGCCTGGACCAAGAAATGCTAAGCCATGCAATTGGACTCATGAGCCAGCAAATAGGGTGTGTCAGCATATCTTTCTCCTTCCTCCCTCCCTTACCTGATCAAATATATGTAGGCGGTGGAAGGAGAAAGTGAGAGCTACACATTATGGAGACTGGGTGACCACTGGCGATGAAGTGCCGATTGCTGCCTCACCCATCCTCGTTTTCTCTGTCCACATCAGGTTTGACATCCTGGACCAGGAGATGAAGACTTTGATGGCTCAGATTGATGGCGTGAACCTCGCTGCCAATAGCCTGGTAGAGAGTGGCCACCCACGCAGCGGGGAAGTGAAGCAGTACCAGGATCACCTGAACACCAGGTGAGGTATGGGTAGGACTTGGGGCTGAGAGCATCTTCTCCTGGCACCTGACACACCTCTGGGGGTGCGGCCGCAAAGTCAGGAAGCCTACTGTGCGCTGCTAGTTTTATACCTTCAGTGCTCCTGTCTTTCTCAGACACAGTCTCCTTCTAATGCTGGAGCTGTAGCAGCAAGGACAAGGAACCTGTTTGGTGATTGACCCAGGGAGGGAGAGAGATGTGTTCACAGAGCTGCAAATATTGTGCCTGGGGGTAGGAGCGTGTAATCATGTGTGATGGGGCGGGGGGGACTGTTCTAAATGTGTCTGTAGTTAGAATCAGGCCATGTGGTACTCATGCGACATTTCCCCAGACATTCTTAGGCAGAGAAAATTACTTTCTGAGAGCTCTTAAGTACTGTCCATAAAAGAAAGCTCATGTCTGTACCAAAATGCGGCATCAGGTCACAAAGCTGGCTTGAATGAAGACAATTAACAGGAAGCCTTGAGCACACTTTGTGGTCAGAACAAAAACCAGGCCCTTGAGGAGCCATTAGAAAGGGTATGCTTTCAGTACATGGTGTAATTCCCCCAGAGTCCTCGGGGATCTCTGAGGACAGAGCACAGGCCCATGTCCTGTTTGTCACCCTGGGACAAGCAGTGCCATAGGTCACCACTTTCCCATTGCCCCATTCCTTTCCCCACAGTAGTGTCTGAGCCTTGCTGTGCCTGAGACAACCTGAGAGTGGGGTTAGGGGAGAAAAATATCAGCACAGTGGAGACTCCAGTGGAGGCCTAAGGGTAGGCAGAAATGACTGGGGGGCGGGGGGAAAGTTGGGGGGATACTTTGGATCCACTAGAATGGGGCCAGTTGTCTCTGCATCCAAAGATGGAGACTATAGTTCAGAAGAATTCCTCTTAATCTGAGGTTTACGCAGAGGAGGAAGATGTCTCTTTGTTCTTCTGTAGGCTTAGAGGTAATGGAGGTGCGTGTGTACAGAAGTGTGAGCATGTGCGAGACAGACAAAAAACACTTGTCAGCTATGTATGTGTTGCCTTAATGAGCTATAGTCAGAGAATGATCTTTGCAGACCCCTAAGCCATGCACCATCCTAAGTGAAATATACCAGGGACTTGCCATCCTTAGGTGAGAGAACCTAAGCCATGAAATGGTAAGACAGTTTTCCATTAAATCTAAGAAATGTACCTGAGAAGTCATCCAGTCTAGCCATGTACCCCAGACAAACTGTCCTGAACAAACACTTGCAGAGATGGGGAATTCACCCCTCACCATTCAGCCCAGCTCATTTGGGGCAACACCTTTTTGGTTAGAAAGTTTGATCTTACATTGAGTGGAAATTTGCCCCCTTGAAATCCATAACATTGGTTCTGACTCTGCCCTTTAGCGAGATCAAAACTTATTCTGATTCTTCCTCCAAGGGATAGCTCCTCAGATATTTTTTAAAACAACTGTAAAGTTTTACCTCCACCCACAGTCCCACCTCCATGCTTCTGCTGTTCCCTCTACCAGAGTGCATCCTCCTCAAACTACATACCCCAACTCCTGCCTGTCCTGCAAGCTAGTCCAGGGTCCTCTCCTTCGCAGTGTCCCAGGTGAAATTTGTACTGGTTTAGAATCACTTTCTACCTTTTATTATAATTACTTTTATGCTGAAGAGCTTTTCTCCTAGACTATAAGCCAATGAAGAGCAATATCTTTATGTATTGCCCACAGTGCTTTGCATACCAAGCACATTGTTATCTGAGGTTTCCTCTGTTCAAAACAGTCTTTTCTCAAATGTATGGCTTATTCACTTATGTTATGCAGGTCTCAGCTCAGAGGTCAACTTACTGGAACAGTCCTCGCTGACCACCCCATTGAAAGTATCACATACCTCCCTCCCACCTAGCCCCTCTGCCTCTATCCCATTGCCTTGCTTTATTTTTTCACTAGGGTTATCACCACTTCATGGATTATACAGTTATTTATTTGTCTCTGCCCACTTAAATTACAGCAAGCACTTTGCTTTTTTCATTGCTGTATCCCCTAGAACAGTGCCTGGTACAAGGCACAGGAGGGTTGCATGATAAATGCTTAGTAAATGAGTGAACAGGGACAACACTGAAATAACTTTTGCCACATTTGGCATATAGAAGTCATTCAAACACGTATTGCATGCATGATTACCTTCCACTGTATGCATCCCAGTTGACGAACATTTTAAAAAAAATAATCTTGCGTCCAGGAACAAACCTGAACAAGCACGGCCAGACCAGTGCTGACTAGAGCAGCTTTATCAACTTCCTTCCTCTTGGAGATGGTGCAGTAGAGGGGGAAAGTGTGTTTGGGAGGCAGACCAGACCCAACCCCAGCCCGTCCCCTGTGTGGCCTTCGCTTGGTGGCTGCCGTAAGGCTACACTGGGAAAGGCCTAGAAAATCACCATGGGACCCCTTACCTGGGGGCATAACCAGACTCTAACCACTGGCTTCTTGTTGGGGCCAGGGTATCTCACAGCCCTGGGATACCTCACTATCATTTCACATTTCATACCAACTCGGAGAATATCTTCAGCTCCTTTCCCCTGACTTGCTAGCCTCACACCATCTGTGAGCCAGGCACAGAATTCCCCAGAGCTCAGGGACTTCGTGGTCTAGGAGGGGAGCAGAAAATTCCTTGGGCTTTCACTCTTCTCTCTCCTGGTATTCCCCATCCTTCCCAGCCTGTCTCCCACTTCTCTTTGCAGACCTGTCTTTTAATCCAGACTAGCATTTGTTGTCAGACCTGCGGAATCCCCACAACGCACTATATTTGCCCAGTCCATCTGCGTAGTCCCATAACCTCAATTCCCAAGGTGCTGCACGTACAAGGATGAGTGAGAATCTAAGGATCTCCTCCTTAAATAGACCTGTTCATTGAGATATAGCTCAGATGCCCTCCATGAAACCTGCCACCATCACCCCTGTTGCTCCCATAGTCCTCTCTGCCTGGTATGTGCGATGTACATAGTACTTTATCCTGTAGTTATGTTGTGAGGTTGTCTTACTTTCTCTCTAAATCATACACTCCATAAGGCAAAGTCTGGCTATTTTATAATATCCCAAAAGCTAACAAAAGGCTTATACAGTAAGACCTCACTTAATGTCATCGATAGGTCCTACAACTTTCAGCAAAACAATATATAACAAAACCAATTTACCATAGGCTACTTGACATAAACAAGTTACGTTCCCACAGCATGTTATTAGCATTTATAACACAATGATAGTGAATGAAACAACATTATTCAAGGAGCTACTACTGTACCTTGTGCTTATTCAAGAAAGATGGGTTCAATTAGCAAATGTGCATTTAGCATACTCATACTTATATATTACAGTGATACAGAATGGGTAAACCGGTCCAAGGGAGATGTCCTGGTGTTCTGAGCCCAGGCTAATGGGCAGCTCTTTAAAAAAAGGCTTATTGGTGCCTGCAGACCCACCCCAGGCCCCCAGGCATCTACCAGATCTTTGCACATGTTCTAGTTTCATTGCAGCGCTGCACTTGAAGATTAAGATTATATTTATCCATTTTAATTATAATCCCAGTTTATCCCCTCTCTCTGTCCTCTTCCTCTGCCTCTTCTTTACCAGGCCTCTTTTCCTTTAGAGCCAAGGTGATTTTTCAGGCCCCGGGCACTTTGAACATAGTCTTAGGGTTGTGTGTGGTTCTTCTAGGGAAGGTGGGACCCTACCTCCTAAAGCATTCTTAAAGTTGATAATGAGGGCTTTCTAATTATTTCAGTATTTCAGAAAATCTGTGGAGATTGTATGTTTGCCTTACATTCAACTACACACAGAGCCTAACTGAGGGTCATGTTTCTTTACTTGTGGTTGGAATTGCATCACTTCTTGCCTCATGATGATGGAAAGATCTAATTAGCAGTTATATTGTCCTTGGTAAAATTGGATAAATGAATTTTACTCACCACAGTTTGTTGGGTAGATGATTTTTCTTCAGCCTCTGGGGAGAGACTCTAGTGGGAAATCTAGGAAGGGATGCCCTGTGGTAAGAGTTACGGAAGAAGGGATCTCTGTGTCCCCCGGCTATGTCCTGTCGGCAGGTGGCAGGCATTCCAGACCATGGTGTCGGAGCGGCGGGAGGCAGTGGACTCGGCCCTCCGGGTGCACAACTACTGCGTGGACTGTGAGGAGACCAGCAAGTGGATCATGGACAAGACAAAGGTGGTAGAGTCGACCAAGGACCTAAGCCGGGACCTAACAGGCATCATTGCCATCCAGCGGAAGTTGTCTGGGCTGGAGCGCGATGTGGCTGCCATCGAGGCCCGTGTGGGTGCCCTGGAGCGTGAGTCGCAGCGGCTGATGAAATCACACCCTGGACTGAAGGAGGACATTGGCCAGCGGCAGGCGTATGTGGAGGAGCTGTGGCAGGGCCTGCAGCGTGCCCTGCAGGGCCAGGAGGCCTTGCTGAGTGAAGCCAGCCAGCTTCAGGCCTTCCTGCAGAAACTGGATGACTTCCAGGCCTGGCTGTCCATGACCCAGAAGGCCGTGGCCTCTGAGGACACTCCCGAGTCCCTCCCGGAGGCCGAGCAGCTCCTACAGCAGCATGCGGCCATCAAGGATGAGATTGACGGGCACCAAGGGAGCTACGAGCACGTCAAGGCATCCGGGGAGATGGTGACCCATGGCCAGACAGACCCGGAGTACCTGCTGCTGGCCCAGAGGCTAGGGGACCTGGAGACTGGCTGGGACGCCCTGCACAGGATGTGGGAGAGCCGCGGCCGCTCCCTTGCCCAGTGCCTTGGCTTCCAGGAGTTCCAGAAAGATGCCAAACAGGCCGAAGCCATCCTCAGCAACCAGGTAGGGAGAGGCATTGAGGGATGGGGGGCAGGGGCGTGTCTCAGGACAACAACACTGGTGAGTCTAAGAATGTGCTACAGGGCTCAGGCACGAAATTTTGCTTTTCTTGGACTCTCTCCAGCCATTAATTAGGGTGACCGTCCTCTTTGTTCCTTATCATGGGCCTTTTCTAGCCCTGCGTCCCAAACTATGCCTTATTCTTGGGTCAGAGGCTAGAGAAGTGAGTTTTTCCCTGGGTGGTTACCCCCTGGGTGGTGATTGGGAGCCAAGGCCTAGGGAGCCTCTTCCCTGCACAACCCCAGGGGGCGCCATTCATGCTGTAACCTGTATGGCTGCACATAGGGTTCCTGCTTGGCAGGTGCTCTCACCGCCTCCTCAGCTTGTCTTCATGCCTTGTTCGGAAACTTGCTTCACCAGGAATATACTCTAGCTCACTTGGAGCCCTCAGATTCCCTAGAAGCTGCAGAGGCTGGGATCCGGAAGTTCGAGGATTTCTTGGTGTCTATGGAGAACAACCGGGATAAAGTTTTGAGTCCTGTGGACTCTGGAAATAAGCTGGTAGCTGAAGGAAACCTCTACTCAGAGAAGATCAAGGAGAAGGTGCAGCTGATTGAGGACAGGTACTCTCTGCCCCCAGGGTCACGGGCCAGAAGCAGGTGGGGCTGGTGGTGCTGTACGGGGACCCCAGGCTCAGCACTGTTGTGACTGTGGCTTCTGGCTTCCCTTCTAGGCACAGGAAGAACAACGAGAAGGTGCAGGAGGCCTCAGCTCTTCTGAGAGACAACCTGGAGCTCCAGAACTTTCTCCAGAACTGCCAGGAGGTAAGGCTCCAGAAAGTCAGGCCAGTTTGCAAGAGATGCCTTTCTGGGAGCAAAGTTTCCCAGAGATAGGAAGTCCACAGGGATCCTTTCTAACTTGGGAGCCTAGGATTCCATGAGGGGGAACTCTGGGCACTTGACAGCTTAGGTCATCCTCTAGAATCTTTGGTTCCACAATTTTTTTTTTCCAAATCTATAAAGATGTCTTTTGTCTAGCCTAAAACAGGTCTTCTCAATGAGTGGCCAGAGGACTATCTATATTAGAGTCATCTAGGGCTCTGGTCAGAGTCTGCTTCAAGGACGTGCTACCTACCCGTGCATTCAAACAGGGCCCCCTGCTTAGAAGGGTTCCACACTTGGTTTAATGTTCTGCTGTTGCCATCTTGAAATTCTTAAGAATTCTAAACATTTTCATTTTGCACTGGGCCCTGCAAATTATGGAGCCAGTCTTGACCCTAGTTAAAAGCAGACTCCTAGGCACCACTCAAGCCCAGATGAATCTGAAATTTAAGGGGTGAGAGAGAGAGAGAGCAGCTTTTTTTTTTTTAAGATAAATTTTTGGTTTTTTTAAACTTTATTGGGGCACAGTGTGTTTTTCCAGGACCCATTGGCTCCAAGTCAAGTCATTGTTTTCAATCTAGTTGTGGGGGCGCAGCTCACTGGCCCATGTGGGAATCAAACTGGCAACCTTGGTGCTGCAAGCACCGCACTCTAACCAACTGAGCCAACTGACCACCCCGAGAGCAACATTTTAACAAGCCTCCCAGTTGGAGAACTGCTGACCCCAACAGTCCTGGCTCAGCCCAGAATGAGCTGTACAAGAAGGTCTTTAACCTGCATTCCCGGGTCCCTCCACAAACAGTACTTCCATTGGACTGAGGCTTTCCCAGACTTATTTCTTGCTCTCATCTTCATATCCCTTTCCTCTCAGCCCAAAAGATTTTCTTTTCATCTACCTGCCCATGGCACAAACCAGGCTCGGTATGGTACCAGGACGTCTTGGAAACTGGCTGCTCATCACAGTTCTTCCCTCATTATTCATCACAGGATCCGCCCTTGGCTCCTTCCTCACGTAACATTTTCTCTGTGTTTATTAATGATTTCTCACCCTACTGCTAAAGGGTGGATTTATCCATCCAGTAAACACTGATTGAGTTCCTGCAATAGGCTCGGCCCTGTCAGGAAAGATGGAGAGAAGGATAATATCCCTGGTGTGTCACACTGCGCACACGCTGGTGGGGAACACATACCAGTGTCCGTATTTGAGCCCCGCGATAATGCAGGTTCAGTTACTTGTGCTAGGAGTTGCGGATCCAGAGTTAGAGAGTGGTGCTCTGCTGTGCTCATGCTTTGCCCTTGGCAAAGGCATATACTCAGGGACACTTGGACCCTCTTTTTCTGCCCACAGCTCACTCTCTGGATCAACGACAAGCTGCTGACATCACAGGACATCTCCTATGATAAAGCACGAAACCTTCAGAACTTATGGCTGAAGCACCAGGCATTTGTGGCAGAACTGGCCTCCCACCAAGGGTGGCTGGAAAGCATTGATGCCGTAAGTAAAGCGAGGGGTAGAGGTGCTCTACGCAGATGGACTTACCTGAGTGGGGCTTCACCCAGGGCGCAGACACCGTCCTGAAGCTTGCTGGACAGCATAGAACTTGGAAGTGAAAAAAGTCTCTAAATAGTTAAATCTTCAGAGCTTCTGCTATAGCCAGTCTGGTTCCGTCTGCAGAACGGGTGCCTCCTCTGGGTCACCTGAGTCTGGGAACAGTCCGGGATACTGAAAACACCTGAGTTAGAGCTTTAGCATCCTTTGCCGGGACAGCGGTTACCTCTGCTTGCCTTCTGTTATCCTCACCAGGGCCCCAGTGCAGGGGAACATGTGAGAATAGAAGAGCGGTCCGTTGGTCTTCAGCGTTTGGATGGGCAGAACCACTGGGGAGTGGTCATGCACACCCCTCGTGGATGGGGAACAAGGGCCCCCTCTGTAATAAGCTTGCCCAGGGACCCAAGTGAAAATGGGGCTGGAGTTAGGTCTGGAAACCAGGTCCCTTTGCTCCTCCCTGCAGTGGCGTCCAGAGAGCAGCAGGCCTCAGGGCTACAGGCGGCCTTGTCTGCAGTGGGCAAGGGTGCAGGCTCCGAGACAGACCTTGGGACTCCTCAACCTTCCCTGCACCTCAGTGTATTTTTATCTATAAATTGAGGGTAATAACATGACCTGCCCGAGGGAGTTGTGAACATTAAAACACTTAGAATAATACTTGGCGGTTATTAGGCACTCACTGAATACTGGCTATTATGAGCAGTATATATTCTTAGGCTCAAGTTGTATCATGCTGTACCCACCCACAAAAGATACATTCGTGTGGGTGAAAACCAGATAAGACAAACTCAGCCACTAACAGATCTCATGGAAGGTTAGCACACAGCCTCTGAGAAGAGAATCAAGAGGGTAGAACTTACAGAGAGGTTTCCAGGCTGCTTGTACCAGGATGGATCCTGAATCTTTTTTTTTTTTCTTTCATTAAAACAAAACAAAAATTAGTAGCAGCTGACCCTTGTCTGCAGCTCCCCGTACTGCAATCTTCTGAGTCATTTTCCCCAAACACAGCTCTCCCTGTCCCGCCTTCTACTGCACATAACTCGAGCGGCAGGGGGGAGGGGGGGTGCAGAGTCCTTCAGTTGGGCCTCACTGACCTCCCCTCAGTTAGCCCTTTACAATCGCCTGGAGCAGGAATGCCCCAAGGCTGGATGGTGAGCTCTCCTCTCCCCCACACAGGAAGGAAAGCAGCTGATGGAAGAGAAGCCCCAGTTTACAGCCCTGGTGTCCCAGAGACTGGAAGCCTTGCACCAGCTCTGGGATGAGCTTCAGGCTATCACACAGGAGAAGACCCAAAAGCTCTCAGCTGCCAGAAGCTCTGACCTGCGCTCACAGACCCACGACGACCTCAACAAGTGGATCAGTGTCATGGAGGACTACCTGCGGTCGGACGACCCGGGCAAGGACCTGACCAGTGTCAACCGGATGTTGGCTAAGCTAAAGGCACGTGAGCGGGTGATACACTGAAAGTGTGGAAATAGAGGGGACCTTGGGGAACAAATCTGAAACCTGAAAGCAAGTACTTCTTCTGTTCCTCTTAGCTGGGCTTGCCTTTATCGTGCAAAAATGTCTCCTGGTTCATAACCCATCTCCTACCCCTTTGCAGTGGGGAAGACAGGGATCCAAATGGGTTAATAAAAGCATGCCTGAGAAGTAAAGGACAGTCACTCGGGAAAGATGAGTGGGGCATCCAGGGAGACTTCCTGGAGGAGGCTGAGCTCAAACTGAGCCTTTCAGGATGGGTGGGATACAGATGATAGGGAGCGGGGAGGGGCTGCCCAGGAACCAGGGTTGGTGCTGACACAGCCCCCTTGTGTCCCAGCGTGTGGAGGACCAAGTGAATGTGCGGAAGAAGGATCTGGGGGAGCTGTTTGCCCAGATGCCCTCTCTGGGAGAGGAAGAAGAAGACATAGACTTGAGCATCCAGAAGCGGTTCCTGGACCTCCTGGAGCCCCTGGGGAGGAGGAAGAAGCAGCTGGAATCCTCCAGAGCCAAGCTGCAGATCAGTCGGGACTTAGAGGATGAGACGGTGCGTGGGCCCAAGTCCCCGAACCCCAGTGGCTGAGCCAGCAGCTGCCATCAGGATAACTGGCTGCCGCCCAGGGCAATTCTTAGCAGCAGATGTCTGGTCATTTTACCCCTTTATCTCACAGGGTTGTTGTGATGATTACATTAAATATAAAAATAAAGCCAGTGGTTTTTGAATGGTAGCTCACTCGTGGATTTGGGGGCCAGACAGACATGGGTTCCAGATCTAGCTACATTACCTTCCCCACTGTATGACCAGGAGCAAGTTATTTGGAACGTCCATTCAAAATACTGAAATGTCCCCATCTGTAAAATGGGGGTATGGGAGTGTGAAACCCTGATGTGGGATGCTGGGAAGAACAAGGGAGACATGGCGGGCAGAGCTCTGTCTGGCTCATGCTCAGGAAAGGGTAGCCATGCGTCATCAGCTGTCCCCTGCCTTCTGGTCCCTGCAGCTCTGGGTGGAAGAGAGGTTGCCGCTGGCCCAGTTGGGCGACTATGGCACCAATCTGCAAACTGTGCAGCTGTTCATAAAGAAGAACCAGGTGAGTACTGCCTTACCTTGTCAGTCCCAGCAGCCCCCCCCCCGCCCCACCCCAGGGAATGAGGCCCAGCCCTGACCTCCAGAAGGCCAGCTCCAGCAGATTATTGTTCTTGTTGGTAGCTATGGGGTCCCCACACTCCACAACAGCTTTGGTGATGGCAGAGAGAATTCTGGGAGGACCACAGAGGGGGCGGGGAGGGGGCTTGTTTAGATGCTTTGGGACGTGGGGCCATCAGACCCATCAGGGCACAGGTGAGTGCAGGACCCAAATGCCGTGCCCTGGGGTTTAACGCGCTTTACAGCTTCTGTACTCTGTGGCCCCCCGACAGAAGGCCCATAGCTCCTGTCACTGCCTTGCCCTTCCTCCGAGGCTGAGCATGGCCTGTTGGGTATCCTCAGGGTAAGTGGCCCCATTTTTCTGGACATGTGAGGATACTTGTGGGGCTCAAACCCCATTAGGAAACCACCGAACTTGGACTCTGAGCCATTGGAGCAAGCATTCATTTCTGTTCTCTCTTAGACCTGGTTGGGAATTTCTGTGGCCCTGCTCGGAATCCTGGAAGTGAGCAGAGGCCACAATTTCCTCTTGTATCAGGGTTATCTTACACCCTCCAAGGCCAGCTGCATGGGGTCCTGGTGCCTCTGTGTCCAGCCGGGGGCAGAGAGTCCCTCTTCCTACCTGTCTGCTCTCTGGGTTAGAAAGTCAGGGAAGCTGCAGCCACACACAAGGAGAGTCTGGGGACTCACCCCAGAGGGAGCAGGGGGATCCCAGAGTGCCAGTCGGTATTGCAGCTCCTTGGGGAAGGAAAGTCATGGCGAACAGTACTTCTTTCCCCAAAATAACAGCAGCCGACATCTGCTTACATAGCCTGGCAACTGTGCAAGGGCCTGAATTATATTCAAAGAGATTCCTTAAAAGCTCCCTCAGACCCTTCGCTTCTAGTTGACACGATCTAGTCACAAAGGCTCCAGTAGCCACACAAAGGGACCTGGGCTAGAAGGTGGTAGGGAGGAGGTGAAGGTAACACTACAACCTCCAGTGCAAGGAAGGAGGCTGGTAGAAGATAGTATTCTTGGAGCCTCAGTTTCCTCAGCTGTAAAATGGGCCAACTTCCGCCCTTCCATTAAAGACTTTTGACTCTATCTAGCCTCAGAAAGTGTTATTGCCAAAAGATGTTCTGCCTGATCTGGCCCCTGTCTACCTCTAAATCTCATCTTTTATCACTTTCTCCCTCCTTCACGGTATTCTGGCTTCTCTGGTCCTCTCTCTGGCCTTCCGACAGCCCAGGAGTGCTTTTCCCAGGGACTTGGCACTTTCTGTTCCCTCTTGCCAGCGATCTTTGTGTGGTTGCCTCCCTCTCGTCATTCATGTCTCCCTCAAATGTCATATACTCAGAAAGGCCCTTCCTGACACCCGCCGGCTAAAGTAGCCACCACCAGACCTCGGCAGACATTCTTCATCTCATTGTTATATCTTTCTCATAGCACCCATTATCTACATTTATTCCTGTATTTCCATACTTACCATCTGTTTCCTCTACTAGAGTGTAAACTTTATGAGGGCAGGGGCTTTGTTTATCTCATTTCCACATTGTCCCCAGAACAGAGTCTGCTACATGGGAAATAAGTTAACAAATATGTGTTGAATGAATGAACTCAAGGAAGAAGACATCAAAAGTCAGCATACTGCACAGGAGCCTAGAAAGCAATTGCTTAAAAAAGAGAGAGATCTTTTAGGATCGCTTGCAGAGGTTATAAGATCTCAGGAAAAATAGAGGCAAATGGTGCTGACACCATGGGTGGTTTGAATACAATTGCCCAGACTACGGGAAATGGCCAGCATCGAGATTCCTAGCATAAAGTCTGAAAATGAATTTCAGTGAGTTAGATGACATGTGAATGTTGCTAGTTCTATATATTTAAAATGCTGATGGCCACTGTACTGCCCTGTGTACTGCTTTGGCCTCCACCCTTCAGATGGTGTTAAAGGCCCTGGGAAGTTGTAGAAAGGAAGCAGATGAGGTGTAAGGAGCCAAGAGCCCACATGCAAGAAGCAACCAGGCTCTGGCCTTTAGGACCCAAACAATGAGTGACACATAGGTCATGGCCCCCTGGAGAAAAAGGTGACCCAATCACCAGAGTGGGAGGAAAATCCCATTTTGGTGACCAGACAAGAAATAATATGAAGCTCACAAAAGATCTGAGAAATAGAAACGGGTAAAAATAGAACAAAACCCTAAACTCTGTTCAAGAGGCAGCTGCTGACTCTTACTTTATAGGAGCAAAAGCTGCTAAAATAAAATATCGGAAGGCCATTTAAAATTTGTTTTCCTTTCCTCTCTCATGTACAGCTCAGAAGTCAGGCTCTACTGAAACATAGGGAGAATAGAGAGCAGTCGAGAGCACAGGCTCTGGGATCAGGGAGAGCCGAGTTCAAATCCCGGCTCTGCCACTCACTGCCCACGAGGTCCTTACGTGCTCTGTGCCGGTTTCTTCATGTCTCTCAGAAGACTACGGGAGAGTGAAAGCGGCATGTTGTGAAGTGCCTGGCACATGGTCATAGGCAGTTTCTGTGGCCATCACCTGCCATGCCTCGGCTTCCCTGAGCAGGGGGGGGGCAAGAGGTGCCAGGGTGTTATCTGGGTAGCCGGCTGCAGGCCCCGCCTCACCTGCGCAGTGGGGAAGGCCCCTCCCCTGAGCCCTTTCCCTCTGGCCACAGACGCTGCAGAACGAGATTCTGGGCCACGCCCCGAGGGTCGAGGATGTGCTGCAGAGAGGGCAGCAGCTGGTGGCAGAGGCAGAGATCGACTGCCAGGACATCGAGGAGCGCCTGGGCCACCTGCAGCGTTCGTGGGACACGCTGAGGGAGGCAGCGGCTGGACGGCTGCAGCGCCTACGGGACGCCAGCGAGGCACAGCAGTACTACCTGGATGCGGGGGACGCCGAAGCTTGGATCAGCGAGCAGGAGCTCTACGTCATCTCAGATGAGACCCCCAAGGTTGGCTCGGGCCAGGCATGCCAGGCTGGGTGCCAAGGCTAAGGGGAAGAGCTGGGGGGCAGGCAGGCAGCGGGGAACCTGGTAAGCCAGGTGTGTGAGGAGTGAGGGCAGGGGGCGGGTGTACGAGGAGCCCTCCTTCTCAGGACGCCCCACCTCTGGAGGAGACCCCTATCACACCATACTACAGCCGGGCACCCTATCTGCCAACTTAGATTTGCTCCAACCCAAGGGCTCTTCACCTTTTTCGTGCCATGGATCCTGTGCTAAAGAACTGTTGTGGGAGGAGGTGAGAGGTCAGGCAGGGGGGCAGTCTCTAAAAGCTGAAGTGATACAGGAAGTTTTCACAGGACAGAAGGTTGGAGCTGGGCCTGGAAGGGTAGATATCAGATAAAAATTGGGGGAGTTGAGAGGAAGGTAGGATGTAGGCATTGCTGGGAACAAGAGTGGCGGGAGGGATCGTGCACGGTTCCCTTGTGGGTGTCCCACAAGCCTTTCTCTCCTCCATCTCGGGCACCGTGGGAGCTGGGCTGTCACCTGGGCCAGGCCAAGCTCGCCAAGCTCAGGCTGATGGTCCCTTGCTTCCTAGGATGAAGAGAGTGCCATCGTGATGCTGAAGCGGCATTTGCGGCAGCAGCGTGCCGTGGAGGAGTATGGGAAGAACATCAAGCAACTGGCCGGCCGGGCACAGAGCCTGCTGTCTGCAGGCCACCCCGAAGGGTGCGTGCACCAGCTGGGGCAGCTTGGCCAGGTCAGGGGAGTCAGGCCAGGGGCCCCACCGACCAGGATCCCTGCAGGGCCAAGTGGGAAAACAGGAACAGTGTTCCCCAAAACTGTGGCTTCGAGAAAACTGCTTTCCGACACTGCTAATTGGCCCAATACCATTTCATGCCTTGGTTTTGTGTCGCTTCAAACAGGGCTGAATAAGGTCTGGTTTGCAAAAAGATCAGGAAATGGAATAGCAAAACTACCTTCTGGGTGAACCTAGAGCTCCAAATCTTTTGAAGAATTAGATTATGCTAAGAGACACTGAAGACTAACTTTGTTTTTTTGTTTTTTGTCTGTTTATGGTACCAAAAGTACTTTAGGATCTCACAGTATCTCAACAAAACCATTACATATGAGTGAAAGTAGAAAACCATCTCAACTGGCCAGTTGTGTGGGTTCTGCATTTAAATGGGAACCCACTGGGCCAGACACCTCAGGCTGCCCCCAGTCATGGCCCTGTCCTCAGCTGCCTTTAGGGCATCCACAGCTATGGGTCCTCAACAGCCACCCCAGCATTCCCCAAGGAGCCCCAAGGATGGAGCCCCTGGTACTGCCCGTCTCTCCCTGAAGAGCTAAGCAGGGCCTGCTGCTACCGGAGCCCCACAGACAGCCTGCCCCATCAGCCTCCTGTGAAGGATGCATTTGCTCTCTGGGCCTCCCAGAGTAAGGGGTAGTGGCAGGAAGCAAGGGGGTCACCTTTCTATCATCCCCTGAAGCATCGTGGTCTAAGGGATGGTTCTTTCTCTCCCTAACCCTTCCCCGGAAGTCACTGCCACTTCTCCTAAGCCGTCCTTCCCTCACCTGCCCCTGTCGCAGGGCTGGGAGGAGTAGGTGAGCTCCCCTGATCTGGGTTCTCAATCACTGTCTCTGAGCACTGTCTTGTTTTGAATTCCAGGGAACAGATCATCAGACTTCAGGGGCAAGTGGACAAGCAGTATGCGGGGCTCAAGGACATGGCGGAAGAACGCAAGCGGAAGCTGGAGAACATGTACCACCTGTTCCAGCTGAAGAGGGAGGCTGATGACTTGGAGCAGTGGATTGCAGAAAAGGAACTGGTGGCCTCGTCCCCAGAAATGGGGCAAGACTTTGACCACGTTACTGTGAGTCCAGCGACCGCTTTCTTTGTCTTTCTCTAATGCAGTAGACGCAGGCAGGAACTGCCATTCTAGACACACATGCACCCCTGCCAGTTGCAAAGTGCTGTACAGGTGCAGCGGCGGGCGCTCAGGCCGCCCGGGAGAAGGTGTGAGAGCACGGCTTCAGGGGGTGGGAGCTGTCTCCTGGGGAAGACGGCCGCTAGTGTGATGACGCCACCCACCCCTGACCCCCCAGTAACCAACTTTCTCTCTGCCCTCTGTCCAGCTGCTCCGGGACAAGTTCCGGGACTTTGCCCGGGAGACCGGAGCGATTGGGCAAGAGCGGGTGGACAGCGTGAATGCCATCATCGAGCAGCTGATTGACGCGGGCCATGGAGAGGCAGCCACCATCGCCGAGTGGAAAGACGGGCTGAACGAGATGTGGGCAGACCTGCTGGAGCTCATCGACACACGCATGCAGCTGCTGGCCGCCTCCTACGACCTGCACCGCTACTTCTACACGGGCGTGGAGATCCTGGGCCTCATCGAGGAGAAGCACCGCGAGCTGCCTGAGGATGTGGGGCTGGATGCCAGCACCGCCGAGTCCTTCCACCGGGTGCACACGGCCTTCGAAAGGGAGCTCCACCAGCTGGGCGTGCAGGTGCCTCTGTCCCTTTCTGTCCTCCCACAGGCTCCAGGGACCTACCTGCCTTCCACATCTTCCCCACAAACCCCCCACCCCGCCTCCTCGCCCCAGGGAGCTCCTAAGTGTCAGGTTTTCTCCTGGTTCCTACACAGGAAACCTTGAGAACAGACACCAGGAGATTTCACCTCCTCAGAGAGGCAAGAACTCAGAACAGGAAGGCAGGGAGCAGTGACTTTCAGACATCTTTAGCTTCTAGTTCTTTAAACAGATTTGTCACAAAAACCCAAGGCATAATATACCTTAAAATGTAATTTCTCTGGTTATACAAAGTATTACAATGTTACTAGCAAACACATAGGTAAAGTAACACTTTTCTAGCACCTGTACTGTTCTAAACAATGTATGCAGTCACCGAACCCTCAGAGCCACCCTCTGAGGAGGGTACTAATGTCGTCTTCATTTCATAGATGAGGAAAACTAGGCATACAGAGGGTAAGTAAGGTGCCCAGGAACAAGCAGATAAGCGTGGAGCCAGGGTGCAGATCCTGGCAGTCTGGCCATAGATCCTGGGTCCTCACCCATGGGGCTACTCAGCCTTTCCACATGGGAGCTGGAGGGCCCCAAGATCTGCTTAGATCCCCCCTCCCACCACTGGGGTGCCCCCTGACGCACCTCCACAGATCCATAGGGTTCCCGAGTTCAGTGTGATAGAGAGGGAGGGGGTGAGGGTCCCCAGCTGCCGGTGGCTTGCCCGGCTTCCCGTGGAGCAGGAGAGATGGGCTGGTTGTGCAAGTCTTGCACCAGCCAAGCGAGGTTCAGGGCCCCTTATTTACCCAGAAGAGGACATCCTAGGGATTTGTCCTCCAACTGGAGGTGGGGCCTGGCATGTGGCTCTTGTGCCTTGGGGACACTGGAGCCCCTGAGGCAGGTACAGTCCCACTGAGGTCTCAAAGATGAGGCTTCATTGCCCTGGGGCCGGCCTCAAACACGGGTCTGGTGCAGTCCCTTCCTTGAAGAGGCAGCATGCAGGGTGGTTAAGAACAGGGACTCAGGAGCACCCGTCCAATCCCAGCTGCCCCCGCCACTGGTCTGAGTGGCCTCAGGCCTATCACTTAGCCCCCTGTGCCTCAGTCTCTTCATCTCCAAAACAAGGATCATAATAGTGCCTTTTTTATGGGGTTGTTGTAAAGATGAAGAGAATAATGAATATAAAGTGTTTAGAAGAGTGCCTGGTACATAGTTACTCTTACTATTGTACTTCTGAGATCATCAAAGGGCATAGAATCCTTCTTACTGCCTTTTGATGAGGATCTAAGCCCAAGGGAGTGGGGCACCTTGGGTCAGCAGGCGTGCCAAAGCAAGAAGGCGTCTCCTCCAGCACCCAGCAGGAGCTGCCTTCCAGCCATGCGCTGGGGGGGAAGGCCAGGAGGAGGCAGATGCCCTCGCCTGTCCTAGGCCCCAGAGGCATCTGTCTAGGGAACAACATCCAGTTTTGCCTGATCACAGGTGCAGCAGTTCCAGGATGTGGCCACCCGCCTGCAGATGGCATATGTTGGGGAGAGGGCAGATGCCATCCAGAATAAGGAGCAGGAGGTGTCTGTCGCGTGGCAGGCGCTGCTCGATGCCTGCGCTGGGCGCCGCACCCAGCTAGTGGACACGGCAGACAAATTCCGCTTCTTCAGCATGGTCCGAGACCTCCTCTCCTGGATGGAGAGCATCATCCGGCAGATTGAGACCCAGGAGAAGCCCAGGTGAGGAGTGGCGTCCTCGAGGCAGCCCCACTTCTTGGCCATTTAGTCCCAGAAGCTGACAGACAAGGGCGTTGCACTGGGGCTCCTCCCCGGAGAGACTGTGAATGCACAGAGTCCCTGGGGGGGCACCTGAGCGCTGGGTCCAGGGAGAAACTGAGTGGTTCGGCTTCTGCTGGAAGGACCGACCATTTCAGAGTAAAGAGCATCCTGTGTGTGGCAAGAAAGACACCTGTCAGTGAGGTTCTACAGTGAGGCAGTGACCATGGTTGTCAGTGAAATTATGTGGTTCACTTTTTACTCTTCCCCCAGCGCTGGGATGGCGGGGGTGGGCCCACTCCCCTAAAGTTCAGGAAGGAGCTTGTGACCCACGGGGGTGGGGGCAGGCACATGGGCCGTGAGAGCCTCAGCTGGCCGGGATCAGGGCTTTCTACACACTTTGTGTCACGTTAGCAATTATTGCTGGCCCATCTCTGTCCCTCTGCCCCTAGGGTACTTGTTTTGACGTTCAAGCTTTTATATTTATCTTTATTGAGATATAACTCACATACCAGATCATTCCATTTTTACAGTATACCGTTCAATGGTTTTTCTTGTATTCACCATTGTACAACCATCACAATACAAGCTTAGAAGATTTCCATCACCCTGAAAAGAAACCCTGTACCTCTTAGCAGTCATGGCTCCCCATTCCTCCCTTTCCCCAGCCCCTGGCAGACACTAACCTCTTTTCTGTCTCTCTAGACTTTTCATATGAATAAAATTATATATGGGGTCTTTCTTGACTGGCTTCTTCACTTAGCCTGTTTTCAAGATTCATTCGTATTATAGCATGTATCAGTACTTCATTCCTTTTTATTGCCAAATACATTCCCAGGCTTCTTTAGGGGGGAGGAGTCCCTGCACCCCCACCCATGCCCCACTGACCAATGGAAGATACTAGGACACCAGTGTCCCTGCTGGAGCCAGGCTGGCAGAGGAAAGAGTGGACTCAGACTCCCAGGCAGGTGGAGAGCTCTGCCTCTGATCGGGACTCGGCATCAGACAAGCCAGTCACCAAGCGTTCCCTTCCTCTCTACACGCCCTCCCCCACCCCTGTCCTTCTGCCCCCCAGAGACGTCTCCTCGGTGGAACTGCTCATGAAATATCATCAGGGCATCAGGGCAGAGATCGAAACCCGGAGCAAAAACTACAACGCCTGCCTGGAGCTCGGCCAGTCCCTGATGCAGCGAGAGCACCAGGCCTCTGAGGAGGTGAGACGGACAGCGGGACAGAAACAGCCTTCTCCCTGTCCTTGTCCACACTCTTGCAGGGCCAGGCAGCTCCCCAGGAGGGATTTTCCCAGGAGGCTCACCTTTCTTGCCGCCTTGGAGCATTGGTGATTAAAGCCCCACCAAGGGGCTGGCTGCTCAGTAGGAATGTGTGTGTACACTGTGCGGTTGGTGACACCCAACTCCTAGGTGAGGCACATGTGCCTCAGAGAGGTTAAGTACCTTAGCCAAGGCTGCACAGCTGGAAAGTGGTAGGGCAAAAACTTGAAGCCAGGTCCGTGGGACCAAGCTCAGCATTCTTTGCAGGACCTCTTTGCACGCTGCCTCACACAGCGGGGAGGGTTACCAAAGCCTGAGCTGTTCTCTTTTCCTCCCTGCAGATCAGTGAGAAACTGCGGCAGGTGATATCCAGGAAGAAGGAGATGAACGAGAAGTGGGAGGCCCGCTGGGAGCAGCTCCGCATGTGTGAGTGCAGCCTGGGAGCCAGGGAACCTGGAGGGCCAGGGCCAGGCCCCTGCTGGTGTGGGGGCAGGGAGGGCTGATGTCACACAGCTGATGTCACACAGCGATCCATTTCCACCACTGCCTAGAGAAGCACCCTCACGGCTCCAGGGCCAAAGGCCTCAGGGGTCCCCACAGAAGACCTACATGGACATGCTGCTGGAAGCCCCCCTCTAACCAGCCAGTACCCCACTCTCTGCTGTCCTCTGGCCCTCTGCCCCCCCACCTCGTGCCAGGCTGGGGTCCCTATGGAGTGCGGCCTGGGCAGCGGTCAGGGTAAGGCTGGAGTGCATCCCAGATGTTTGATCTGAGGCATGTCTGGCACAGAATGAGCTCTGTCCTCCTCAGCGGGTGATTAGGGAGGTGGAGCAATCCCACTACTCGGTGGGCGCTACCAGCTGAGAAGACCTGGACTGGTCCCATGGCTGCTTGTGCACAATTCTGTGAGATAGCCAAAGGCTGGGAAGAGAGTGTTCAGGGCAGAAGACAGCTCCTCAAAAGGAGACGTCTGAACTACCTGTTGTTTTTAAAATGGAGTTTCTTCTAATTAACGTTTTCTTAAAATACCAGTATCGATGGAGATGACGTAGGGGCCCAGTGTGGGGAAGGAGTGGCCTCGGGCAGCAGGCCACCGACGAGCAGTGTCCACACAGTTCAGTGACACCTGGGCGGGCCCCCTCCCTGTCCACCTGCCCCCTGTCGGTGGGCTGAGCGGCCCTGAGGTCCCAGCAGGAGCGGACCCCTGGGTGCTGACAGACCCCTCGGCCTTGTGGGGGGGCCTGTCTCTTGTTCTCCATGGCAGTGCTGGAAGTATGCCAGTTCTCTCGAGATGCCTCCGTGGCTGAAGCGTGGCTGATCGCCCAGGAGCCCTACCTGGCCAGCCGGGACTTTGGACACACGGTGGACAGTGTGGAGAAGCTCATCAAGAGGCATGAGGCTTTTGAGAAATCCACAGCCACCTGGGCGGAGCGCTTTGCTGCACTGGAGAAACCCACCACGGTGAGCAGAAGGCGGGGCGGTGGGCGGCCACGCCTTGGGAGGGGGGTACCTCAAGTCAGGAACTCTTAGCCAGTTATTAGGGACCTATGAGAGGCTTGGCAAGGGGGGAGAGTGGGGAGGAAGTTCGGGTGGTAGAAAGTACTGACTTTTGAACCAGGAGACAAAAAAGGATAATTCCAAAAGGAACACACACCAGGGTATGTTGGGTACAGGGCGCCACCTTTAGAGAAAGGTATCTGAGAGCAAGCGCACCTCCATGGCTGCTCTGACCCCCTTCGCCTTTTCCTGCCCCTAGCTTGAGCTAAAAGAACGCCAAACCCCAGACAGACCTGAGGAGGAGACTGGGTAAGTGTGGGGAGGGCCGGCGGTGGGCTGAGCTGGAGCACTCAGCCAAGGGGGATGAGTGGGGAGGAGGGAGGATACTTTTTATCAGAAACAGCCCCTGATATTGTAACCATGTGACCTCTCACATCATGGCCACGGGTTGGAGCAATTTGGAGTGTCTGGAGCTTGCAGGCCGAGAGGAGCTTGTGTTAATCCCAAATCACGGTCAGGTAGAACCCGGCAGAGAGCAGCGGCTGCTGCAGAGTCACCTCCCCTATTCTGGGAGCCACCTGACCGCATGCCCCAGCGGCCATTCTGTGTGGCACTGTGTCTGTTTCTGAAGCATCTGCCTTCACTGGAAAGTGAAGGCATATTAAGCAGCGCCTTGCTAAGTGCCTGCTGGGCTGCAGCAAGACCTGGACGGGAAGATACTTGGCCTGTGCTCCCTGGACGGGGATGGGAGAGCCAGGCCTTGGGGTAGGCACTAGCCTCAGAGGAGTGCTTGTTTCTAAAGAGGGGCTGTGTCTTCCGTAGGCCTCAAGAGGAGGAAGGCGAGACAGCAGGGGAGGGTCCCCGAGCTCCCCACCGAGCAGCCACCGAGAGAACGTCCCCGGTCAGTTTCCTGTCCCACTTGTCTAGTTCCTGGGAGTCGTTGCTGCCAGAACCAGCTCATCCCTACTAGGCTCGGTAGGGGCGGAAGGCGAGGACAGGCACACGCCGCCCCACCCCCCGAGACCCCCAACTTCAGATCAGTCTGCAGTTTTCACTTAGGTTTTCTTAATTCCTAGACTAACTCCCCTCCTCCCTTCAACCCAGAAGAAACTGACATACCAGCCCATTGACATTACTCTATTAGTTTGGTTTGATCTAGTCTAATAAATTTTCTTGTATAAGTACATCACCATCTACACATCAGAGAAACAGTTTATACAGAGATTATTCATTTTTATACACCGTCTTTTTCCCCATTTTCCCCTCTCACTCCATCCTTAACAGTATCCCCTACACACACACACACACACACACAAACGCACGCACGCACGCACACACACGCACGCACACACACACACACACACACTCACACACACACACTCACACACACACACTCTGCCCAGTCTTGCCTACCACAGCCACAGGTCTTTGGGACGCCCACCCCTCTGGCTGATTGCTGCCTCTTAAGCAGAGTCCCCTCCCCTTTGCACCTTCCCGGCCTGATGCCGATGGGTCAGCGAGTTTGGATGTGGAAGTGCTTCTGAGGCAAGAACAGGCTTGAAGGAGCCCTGCAGCCGTGCAGGAGAGCCTCGGGGCTTTAGGTGACAGGCCCAGTCCCCCACCTTGTAGAAAAGGAGGGTGTGTGGCTGAGGAGGGGTTGGGAGGGGGCTAAAACTGACCAGCTGCCAGTGGCCTGGCCGTATGGCTTTAGGACCTTGCCTGGAAGAGGTCCCTTAGCTAAAGGGACTCAGGGGGGTCTGTGCAGGGGGCCTGGGAGGCTGTAACCCAGGTTTGGGGGAAATGCCCTGGGGAGTGGCCTACTGAGAAGAAAGCAGAAATTCGGCATGTGCCTTGCATGGCTTCACCACTGCAATTATTCCACCTCTCCAGGTGCCCAGGTGAGCTTGCCTGAACCTTTGGGGGTTTAGGGAAATTGATATTCTAGGTTAGAATTTCTGGTACACCAACCACCCCAGAAAAAATGCACATACAGTGAGCATTTCCTGTACAGAATCCCTATCAGGTCCATACTTCAGCCCTTCCTACACTTCTTCTGTGAGTCTCAGTCTCTCTCTC